CTGTTGTCATCTTCTCACCAAGCTGCTTGGCGATGGTCTTGTAGCCCATTCCAGCCTTGTGTAGGTCTGCAATCTTGTCCCTGACATCCTTGGAGAGCTCTTTGGTCTTGGCCATGGCGGAGAGTTTGGAATCTGATTGATTGATTGCTTCTGTGGACAGGTGTCTTTTATACAGGTAACAAACTGAGATTAGGAGCACTCCCTTTAAGAGTGTGCTCCTAATCTCAGCTCGTTACCTGTATAAAAGACACCTGGGAGCCAGAAATCTTTCTGATTGAGAGGGGGTCAAATACTTATTTCCCTCATTAAAATGGAAATCAATTCATAACATTTTTTACATTAGTTTTTCTGGATTTTTTTGTTGTTATTCTGTCTCTCACTGTTCAGATAAACCTACCATTAAAATTATAGACTGATCATTTCTTTGTCAGTGGGCAAACGTACAAAATCAGCAGGGGATCAAATACGTTTTTTCCCTCACTGTACATAAGTGTCATCTGCATACAGATGAATGTTACAGGTTTTTGCAGATAGACCAATATTATTTATATAAATATTAAAGAGGACAGGTCCCAGAATCGACCCCTGCGGGACACCTTTAATAATATCGAGGTAACTTGACACCATCAGAAAGCACAGTGTCCTATCTGACAAATAATTCCTAAACCACATGCAAGACGCCTGGTTGAGGCTCATTTTAGACAACCTTGAATGAGTAACGGATTGTCAACAGTATCAAAGGTCTATAAATATGGCAGCACAGTGATTCCTATGAGCTAAGGGATTTAATATACCATTTAAGACAAGCAAAGCTGCTGAAATGGTGCTATGTCCAGGTCTAAAATCAGATTAGTAAACATTAAGAATTAATTTGTAGTAAAAAAAAGTTCTTAGCTGAGAGTTTGCCAGCGATTCTAATATTTTTGCAAGGCAAGATAGTTTAGAAATTGGACGGTAGTTATTTAGGTCAGAAGGATCCCCACCTTTTGTAAAGGAGGAGGACATGCGCCGCCTTCCAGATCTTAGAGACAGCACCAGAAACAATTGTTAAGTAAAAAATGAGGGGGCAAAAAGCTACAGTAGAAAAGGGATCAAGCGAGTCAGCTCGTGGATTTTTTTACATACATTTTTTGCAAGGCACAATACATAATTGACATAAAATGGTTCAAATGAAAAAAAGGAGTGAGTCCCTGGAAGAGCATCATTCTCTGCTATTTGTTTAGAGGTGAATAAAGGACTCCCTCTAGTGGAACTTGAGGTATTTTCAGATACCATTCTTTCAAATAGATGGCCAGCAGAGGGAAAATAGTTATACTTTTTTTTTTTATTCTTACAAAGATTTGACCACGTTCCAGAATTTAGCTGGATTTCCACCACTCACAGATACACAATTCAAGAAGTATGTTGACTTTGCCTTTCTAACCAGAGTAAGACATCTATTTCTCAAATGCCAACGTTTCTTTCATGAAATCTTTCAGACAATTAATGTGTGGGCAGCTTAGAACAGCTGATTGGGTCTCTGCTTGACACGAACAAACACCCCACAATATCTGGCCCTGTGCCCTCCCTAAATCGTGGCATTGAACATTTCAGCAGACTTTTCGCCCTCCATAACTGGCTACGAGACTATTGCAGCTCTGTGGGTGTAACATTTATTGACAATTTTAATACCTTCTGGAAACAAAGCTTGTTTTATAAGGAGGATGGGATCCACCCAAATCATTTGGGTTCCTGGATCCTTTCACAGCATTATAAGGCTGCGTTGAGACAATGACTTATCAATTACCCAAGCCTAGTTCAGTTAATCCCTACCATAGTGTTGGCAAGTTGTCATAATGCATCAGCAAATGTACATTATCCCAGGGGCATTAGAAGACACAATGAAAGTAACCTAATTTATGACCCTCTAACTGCCCTAAATGCCTCTGCTGATCCTACAGCTATTGTATGCAATAATCATGTAACTATGAACCAGAATTATACTGTTAGCACTGAGGCTGTATGCCCTACTAGGAATTCCACTGTGTGCAGCTCTCCCTGCATTAACATAAATAACATGAGCATGTCTACTTCTGCTAAGCTTCCCAGTAAAGCAATGAAAACAATCAATCATCCCGTTAACATATGTAGCTTAAGAAACAAGGTTCATGAAATCAGTAATTTGCTAGTAACAGATGACATTCATATTCTGACAATCTCTGAAACTCACTTAGATAATACAGTTGAAGTTGGAAGTTTACATACATCTTCGCCAAATACATTTAAACTAAGTTTTTCACAATTCCTGACATTTAATCCTAGTAAAAAATCCCTGTTTTAGGTCAGTTAGGATCACCACTTTATTTAAAGAATGTGAAATGTCAGAATAATAGTAGAGAGAATTATTTCTTTCAGCTTTTATTTCTTTCATCACATTCCCAGTGGGTCAGAAGTTTACATACACAATTAGTATTTAGTAGCATTGCCTTTAAATTGTTTAACTTGGGTCAAATGTTTCGGGAAGCCTTCCACAAGCTTCCAACAATAAGTTGGGTGAATTTTGGCCCATTCCTCCTGACAGAGCTGGTGTAACTGAGTCAGGTTTGTAGGCCTCCTTGCTCGCACACGCTTTTTCAGTTCTGCCCACAAATATTCTATAGTATTGAGGTCAGGGCTTTGTGATAGCCACTCTAATACCTTTGTTGTCCTTAAGCCATTTTGCCACAACTTTGGCAGTATGCTTGGGGTCATTGTCCGTTTGGAAGGCCCATTTGCGACCAAGCTTTAACTTCCTGACTGATGTCTTGAGATGTTGCTTCAACATATCCACATAATTTTCCTTCCTCATGATGCCATCTATTTTGTGAAGTGCACCAGTCCCTCCTGCAGCAAAGCACCCCCACAGCATGATGCTGCCACCCCCGTGCGTCACGGTTGGAATGGTGTTCTTCGGCTTGCAAGCCTTCCCCTTTTTCCTCCAAACATAACGATGGTCATTATGGGCAAACAGTTCTATTTTTGTTTCATCAGACCAGAGGACATTTCTCCAAAAAGTACGATCTTTGTCCCCATGTGCAGTTGCAAACCGTAGTCTGGCTTTTTTATGGGGGTTTTGGAGCAGTGGCTTCTTCCTTGCTGAGCGGCCTTTCAGGTTATGTCGATATAGGACTCGTTTTACTGTGGATATAGATACTTTTGTACCTGTTTCCTCCAGCATCTTCACAAGGTCCTTTGCTGTTGTTCTGGGATTGATTTGCACTTTTCGCACCAAAGTATGTTCATCTCTAGGAGACAGAACGCGTCTCCTTCCTGAGCGGTATGACGGCTGCGTGGTCCCATGGTGTTTATACTTGCGTACTATTGTTTGTACAGATGAACGTGGTACCTTCAGGCATTTGGAAATTGCTCCCAAGGATGAACTAGAGTTGTGGAGGTCTACAATTTTTTTTCTGAGGTCTTGGCTGATTTCTTTTGATTTTCCCATGATGTCAAGCAAAGAGGCACTGAGTTTGAAGGTAGGCCTTGAAATACATCCACAGGTACACCTCCAATTTACTAAAATTATGTCAATTAGCCTATCAGTAGCTTCTAAAGCCATGACATCATTTTCTGGAATTTTCCAAGCTGTTTAAAGGCACAGTCAATTTAGTGTATGTAAACGTCTGACCCATTGGAATTGTGAAACAGTGAATTATAAGTGAAATAATCTGTCTGTAAACAATTGTTGGAAAAATTACTTGTGTCATGCACAAAGTAGATGTCCTAACCGACTTGCCAAAACTATAGTTTGTTAACAAGAAATGTGTGGAGTGGTTGAAAAACGAGTTTTAATGACTCCAACCTAAGTGTATGTGAACTTCAACTCTCTCTCTCTCATATATATGCAAACATAAAAAATAAAAAAACGTTTTTGCTTTGTCATTATGGGGTATTGTGTGTAGATTGATGCGGGGAAAAAACTATTTAATCCATTTTAGAATAAGGCTGTAAAATAAAATGTGGAAAAATTCAAGAGGTCTGAATAATTTCCGAATGCACTGTACTTGCTGTGCTAGACCGAAGGGATAATATTTGTTTTAAACATTTTTTAAATGTTTTAAATCACAAAAACATGGCAAAATGCTAACGAAATTAGCCCTGGAGCATTTAATAGTGCTACAAAACAAAACAAAAAAGTTTGGAGATTTGTATTACATTTGGAATAATCTAATGTTAGAATTAAATCTTGCGCAAGGCCACTATTAAATATTTATATTGTAATTTGTTAATAACTTTCATCATACAAAATCTGTCAGGTGCACTCAGCATTTCTAATACAGCTCCTGCTTTTTATGCACAAATACATATCTGCAATCAAGGCCTGCATATAAAAAACAATCATCAATAGTTACAAAATAATAATCTGTTGGCCTATACAAAATTATATTCTGTAGGCCTATACAAAATAATAATCAGGAGGCCTAATAATCATCTGTAGCCTAGGGTTAGAGATGTAGGGTTAGGGACTGACTAATCACTGGAATAGTACTGAGGATATAAACCCAGCCATAGTGAGCTGCGTCTCCCCGTAGCAGCAGGAGATACCATAAAAACACACCACTTCAACAGGCTACGACCGGAAAGTGACCTTCTTGTAGCAATGTTAGAACTTACACAGCAGGTTAGGATAATTAACGTAGCAGTTTAGGAGAATTTGGTTAGGGTTAGTGAAAAATGCTAACCTGCTACGAAACCTCACTTCCCGTTCATAGCTGTATCGAAGTGGCGTGTTTTTAGGGAGTCCAGTAGCTGTAACAGGTAGTGGAGATGTAACAGGACTGGGCTTTTCCACTGTTACAGAGGCCTTTTAATGGTAAGATCCTCAGAGGGTGGAGTTTACAGCGATTGTTTAGATATGGAATGACTCTCTGTCAATGTGTGTGTGAACGTGTGCATGTGTATGTTGTTAACAGGGTCAGAGAAGGACAGCTTTCCTTTGTCCCAGTCCAGCTGCACTCTGATCCTCTGGGGTTTCTATGCTACTATGAGGTCAGTGGATGGCCTTGTGCTGTGTATTTAGCATCAAACTGCTTCAATAGCCAATATCCACTCCTAACTGCTCCCTTCCTCTGGACTGACTCTTCTGTGTGTCCCTGAGTTAAAGCCCTCAGAGCCCAGGACCCATACATACTGTATATATCAAATCTCTCTGGGTTGACAGGAAACTGCTGTTTGTCATCACTGCGTCTCACACTGATCAGATCCTCAGACAGGATGAGACGTGGATGGGCAGTGTTTGGGCAGTGTTTGAGTCACAGGAGCTGAACAGAGAAAACAGAAATTAGACACTACATATCTGTGATCTAAGACTATACTGGTTCCCTGTAAATTGTATACATATTGCAGTATTTATGCTGCAATAGTTTATAAGTGCTGAGGGGTCAGGCTGCTTTAATGTATCTTAGACCAGACTCATTGTATTTCAGAAATACCAGATTGAATTAAACAATCAATCAATCAATAATAATCAGTCAATCAATATACTGATAAATCATGTGGCTTTAGAGAGAGCAGTCCTGACCTACAGGAATAAGATGTCTTCAGCTCTCAACTCCTCCCCTAAGACACTGAGTGTGTTTCAAAGTGATGATATCTCTCTGCTCATCTCCTCAATCTTCTGTTCATCATCTGACTCTTCTGCTCCTCTTCCTCTCTCAGAGAAGCTATCCTGGCCACCTTGTCATTTCATAGAAACTGGTGAAGCTTCTCAAGCTCCTCCATCTGCCTCTGTGTGCTGGGCCTCACTCTGCCTCTGGAGTATATACAGGGTCAAATACATTTGCTCAAAACTGTTGCATTCTCTGACTGATACTTCAAAACATTATTCTTACGTTAATGTGCTCTGCTGTTTGATCACATGATAGTTTAACGCTATTTAAGTCCTGTAAGGGCTTCAGGGCAGTCTGTAGCTCTTTCTATTGGAAGGAGAATGTTTCTGATACCGGAGAAAACTGGCTTTACAGGAATGAACAAGTCAAATAAAACAGAGCTTGTTTGAATTTTTTTAACAACTCTTGTTCTCTTCGATACAATCATTTATTTTACAAGGCTTTACATTTTAATGGAATATCAAAGGTTTATGTAATACAAAAAAAGAAAGAAATCGGGTGTCAACTCATTCCATGGAGGGCTTAGCGTCTGCTGGTTTTAGTTTTTTCCTTTCAATTAAGACCTAGACAACCAGGTGTGGGGTGTTCCTTACTAATTAGTGACCTTAATTAATCAATCAAGTACAAGGGTGGAGCGAAAACCCGCAGACACTCGGCCCTCCGAGGTCCAGAGCCTGCAGACACTCGGCCCTACGAGGTCCAGAGCCTGCTGGTTTTCTTTTCTACCTGATAATTAACTGCACCCACCATGTGTGCTAGGTCTAAATGATTCCCTGATTAGAAGGGAACCATGAAAACAAGCAGTGGAACTGGCTTTGAGGTCTAGAGTTCAGTTTGAGGACTGTAGAGCTTCATCTATGGAGCAGTGGTCAAGGTTTTTGTGTTGTTTGGAGGTCTGACACATCAAACAGGTTGGGTGTTTATCCTCCAGACAGAAGAGTTGGAGTTTCTCCCTGTGCAGACTGCAAAACACCCCAGACTCTGAGAGATTATCTGGATGTCACCTTGTCCTAGAGAGATTTACACGGTTATCATACTGTGGGACTCTATGAAGTGTTTGTTGTCATTCAATGAGAGAGGACTAGTTTTTCATGCAAATTTTTTCAATTGAGAAATACTGCACCAAACATCTTAATTAGATGTAAAATTGCAAAAACGTCAAAATTAATTACAGATTTCTTGATTTATCTAGATTAATTCAGACTATTTTCAGGCTATGTGGTTGCTACGGTGTCTCAAGATGGAGAAACAGTGATATTGCCGCTTTTTCTAATTTTTCAAGCGAAGGTCTTTTAAGGGAGAATGTGAGGCACAAACGTTCGCTTCCCCTAGCTGGGTTCTGCTAGGAGCAAACCAAACCTAAAATGCGGCACCTTTAGAGCTGTCAAATCCAGAAGCAGCTCCTGTCATTAGGCCTGTACCTAAATTGGACATTGCCATTGGCAGCAGAGTCGCATTAAAAGAAATCCCATGCAGCTTTGTTTACAAGTTCGAACACTGGAATGTGAGCTGTAATCTACACCTTGATTAGGCTGATAGAAATCCTCATTATTTCGTTTGATGATTGTCAATTTGAGCGTCATTATTTCTATATAACATGAGTGGGATGGGTGTGGCTTTGTGACGATGATAAAGAGCAGCTGCTCACCAACTTGACAGCTCCAACTTAGTTACACCACCGAAATATCAGCTATGCGGGTGTCGGCTATCGCCAGTTAAAGCCGGTTAAATGCATCCGGTTCGTTTTGCTCCTAGCATAACTCGGCTAGGCGAAGAGCATACTCCCTAAAGACTTTTGCTTGAAAAACTAGAAAAAAAGCAGTAATATTACTGTTGTTTGTTCCTCTTGAGCCACCATAGCAACTTAGCCTCAAAATAGTCCGAATTAATGGGACACACTCTTTTCACTCCACTTCGATACGAAGTGATATTCGTAGAAGACTAGGAGAGCATTTTCCCTAACCCTAACCATTTTCCTATCCTTAACCTGTCTCCTAACCTGCTACGTTAATTCTCCTAACCTGCTGTGTATGTTCCCCTAACCTGCTACAAAAAGTCCCTTCCGTATCGAGGTGCCGTGAAAAGAGTGTTTCTCCTGATTTAATCTAAGATAAATCAAGAAATCTATCATTAATTTTGACGTTTTTGCCTAAGAGGTCTTAGTCGCGCAATTTTACATTTAACTAAGATTGATGCAGTATTTCTCAAGTGAAAAAATTTGCATGAAAACTAATCGTCTCTTCATGTTCCCACTCCTACTAAGAGTAGTACTGTTGACCAATGACCGACGAAGGGAGCAGACTTTGGCTACCGAACTGACTTTCCTCAAGTTAAAGAAAAACCTGCTGAACACCAAAACGAAAAAAAAAAATCACAAAATGTTGTCATAATATATGCGCAAACTGTTTAGACTGGGAAGCATACGGTAAGCTTTACGCTTGATCTGAATCCAGGCCAAAGAGTAAATAGTTTGACTTGGTCATACCAGTTTCATATCTGAACATGACCAGAGTGGAATAGAGGTAAACCTGTTCACTGTTCCTTCTACAGTACATTTTTACTAAACCAGTAACTAGTATTGTAAGCATATTTATAATGGTTGTGACAGATAGATAGGCGATAGCTGCTACCTAACTCATATAAATAGCTTACAAGTTCAAAGGGAGAACCACTGTACTCCGAAAATGTTGGACCCAAATAGAAGTATGTTAATATGGAGGACATGATCTGAATAATGTTGCCTACTTAACTGCAGATGAAGTCAGGAGAAAAAACGGTTGTTTTATATCTGACCTACTTTACTTATTAACAAACCTGTAAAATGATGACTCAGCATTATCTCTCTCTCTCTCTCACTCTCTCTCACACTCTTTCTCTCTCAAACATTTTCTCTCTCTACAACCCCCTCTCCCTCTCTCCAACATTTTCTCTCTGACAAACACATACACCCAACATTGTGCCATCATTGACAAGGTCCCCACCAGATGAATACACGGTAGCCCTGGATGTTAAGACTGTCTTTATTGAACTGTACAGAGCTGAAAGCAAGACTAAGATGACTGATAGTAGCCTGGTGGCTAGATGTGGCATGACAACAAACATTTGACGGCTTGGCTAAACCCACCAACAGACATATTTATTGGTGACGGGCTGACGGCCTTGTCTTGGTGCTTTTAATCTCCGTCTTCTGTGTGTGTTACGGTGTGGAATATTCCGAGACAGTATACAAACATTTCACAATATTTTATAAAGCAATACAGAAAAAAAGAACATAGAAAAATTAACCACGACAACAAGCTACAAAAATGGCAGTCATGACATCATCACACTGTATCCGGGTAACGCTGGTATGAAGTAAACATTCGGAACGACTGATAGACTTGATGAATAAATATGAATATAAACATGTCTAAAAAAAGAAAGAAAATTACTGGCGCTGACATGGGTCTGGCTCTACCGCTATGGCGTTGTGTAGCCGTGTTGTGTTGCCAAGAGGAAGGGTAAGTGGTTGACTCCTAAAGGCACAGTGGGTTAAACCATTAAACACTGTACAACCAAGCCTCGAACCCTCACACTCTACCACAAAGCCTTGTCCTATGGAATGTAGGCTACACCCCCGTATGCCACCGACCCCGTCTACACACAAACACAACACTTTCAACATAAGCCAAGATGTCTAGCTTTCTCTCATTCTCATTGGGTCTCACGAGACAAACTCTCAGCATTACAAGTATCATGAGCGATCGATTTGATCAATCAATCAATCGATCAATCTTGGAAAACAAACATGAGAACATAAGACTGAAGTGTTTGGCAACAGAATACACGCTGAAAGTTCCAGAGATCAAGAGTTCACTCGCTCTCACAGGAAGGAAAGAAAGCAAACTGCCGTGCAGAGTGTGTATCTATGGTTCCTCCATGTTTTCCCCATCATACTTTGAGACATTCCTCTCCAATCGTCGATGAGAAGGAATTCTCATTGATACAATCTAATGTCATAATTAAATTAAAGTAAACTTCTCTCTCACACATGTGCTATGCTTAGAAATATTACATATTATCTGAAATGTCTTGTAAATGTATAGTACCAATGTCGCTGAATAAATAAACATATTAAAATAGAAATAAAATATATTTATAAATAAAACATATTTACAACAGGACTTTTGGCATCCATGTTTCTGTAATAACACATGGACTGAGTGGTTTGTTTGACAAATACTGTTGGAGTGGATATGGAACATGGACATGTAAGCGTGACCAACAGAAATGTTAAACTTATAAACAGATGATTTAACATAATCTGTCAGATCTCAGTTTAAAGCGGCAACCAGCAGTAGAAATAAAAACAAACAGTACCCCCCCCCCCCCCCCCCCCCCCGCTCCTGTTTCTGTTTCTGTAAAAAGCTGAGGGATGGGGCTGGAGAAACTCTCAAATTCATAGACATAGCTATGGATGCAAGGACTGACCATCCATGATATCAACATTATGTTTTGAGGCTATATAGTGTTTGTTTACATTTACGTTGTTTACAAACAGAGTAAAACAAGCTTATATATCAGGTTCTGATTGGGTACGACAGTTGAACTAAGCTCATGAAACATTTATAAGTTAAATTTTTCAAGAATCAATGGGTACATATCATTAATTTATAAATCCAAAAATGGATGTAGCAACTCCTGATTGCCACTTTAAAAAACAAACAAACAAGTCTGTGCTAGCATATGATCCAGTGGTTATTATTATTAATATACAGAGGTCAAATACATAAGTCAAATAACTTGAACTGTGCTCAATTGAGTTTGATTTAGTTTGGTACAATGGAGACAACAGAATAGTGCCAAAAGTACAAACTCCAAGCAGAATCAATTACACCTCAAATACCTTCAAGTATTTTAATGTACTTGAAATACGTATTTGATCCAGATCTGTTATTATATATATATTATGTATTCAAAGGACTCCTGACAACTCCCAAATACAATACAAAGAAGGACTCATCAGTTACTATGTACAGATTTAGTCTCTCAACGCAACGTTCCAATAGACCGTCTCTTCTTTCTTCTGCTTTTATGAAAAAAATCTGATTTCTGTACACCATTCTTTACCCACTCCCACTACCACTCCCATCCCCACCCCCTCCTCCATTCAGTAGGGACACTATTGGACGACATCTCTCTCCATCTCTCCTGTGATTGGTCAATAGATGAACCTCCCACTCTCATGTGATTGTTGGTTAGATACACAGCCACCCTCTCTCTCTCTGTCTTTCTATTGGCAGTTAGATGAACCACTCTTTCTTTGATTCGTCAATGGTCTCTGGGTTGGGGTCGGTGCCGATGATGGTGGTGTCAGCTGATTCGCCACTGGCTGGCTCCGCCGCTTTCGACTCATTGGTGTGGTAGGAGCCCTTGTGACGGAACATGTAGCGAATCAGGAACACCAGCGTGCACAGGATGGTGAATATCACCACGGCAATGATACCTGGGGGCGGAGATATAGAAGTCATTTTAGAAATACATGTAATTTCAAAAGAAAGGATATTGATAGGGCCAGTTAAGGTTAGAGCACCAATTTATGGAAGCAAATTTGTAATACATTTGTTGACATCATGTATGGGAGACACATTTGGAGACACTTATCTGCAGCGGAGGCGACTGAATGCCAAGCGATTGAGATCAAGATCAAGATCAAGATCACATCTGGACCTGGCAGAGGGTCATATCTCTGTGGTACACCTCTTTAAAGATAAGAGATATGTGAATATGGGTCATACTGAACATGCCTCCTATAATGGCTGAGTTCCTGTTGACTCCATCTGGGATCACTCTCTCTTCATTGAATGGGAACTCTGCACCTGGAGACACACAGAGACAGGAAATACAGATCACATCAGCCATACACACACACACACGCACGCACACACAAATCGGCTTTTATCCCTCCTGATGGAGAGATCTATCAGGTAGACAAGAGAGAGAGAGAGAGATAATATTTCCTGTTTTGTTTTGGCTTTCATACGATGTAATGTGTCTTCTCAGTCATGTTGAGATTGGTCGACTACTATTGCTTTAATGTATTGTTATTCTCATTAATATTGTTGTTGTAGTTGCTGTTAATGGTAATCCCATTTCCACTACTACTATTATTATTATTGCTGTTGGTCCATGTTGTTATATCTATACTTTGACAATGTAAGTAATTTTACTTGCCATGTCAATAAAGTCTATTGAAGAGAGAGAGAGAGAGAGAGAGAGAGAGAGAGAGAATTGAACGTGAGACTGATGTAGCTGCTCTGTCAGTTTTGCTTCTGGCTCCTGGATCAATAGATGTGATCAACCAGAGACAGACAAGTAGAGACAACAATCCCACTGGATCACAAGGAAGACTGCAGCACCCCCAATATGAGAATGTGTGTGTGGTGTTGTGTACCTGCTTTTCCTGCAGAAATGTTTGTATGTGTGTGTGTATCGTACCTGAGTCCAGGCGCCAAGGATCGGTGGCAGCAGACATTGGTGGGATGGTGAGAGGCGAGGCTCCACAGTTAGATTCTACCAGTTTACCCTGGTAGGACACTGGCACAGACTGTCTGTCTGTTGGTTTGTCTGGATGTCTGTCTTTCGGTCTGTCTGCTACAGGGTTTCTTAGGGCAGTCTTCAGGGGTGCGACTCCATTGAACTGGACGCGTGACAGACAGCCTACGAACCCTGGAGTGTTATAACGCTCTATAAGCACTGGGTCTATCACTCCGGTCTCTGAGGAGAGAAAGAGAATCAGAAAGAAAGAGAATGAGAGAGAGAGGCAGACAGTGGTTTGAGTTTTAACAAGATTTTATTATACGATACAAAACTTTAAGGCAGCACCCAGTGTTAATAGTCCAAAGCAGAAGGCCAAGAAAATGAGGAGAGGAAGGAAATATACATAATCAGCACTTATATTTCCAGCAAATTAACTGCAGCAGAGTGTACAGTAAGCCACTGGCCACAGCACGTTCCTCCTACAAGCTATCAGACACCTGCATCAGCACATTTACAGGGAAATCATCAAGACATCACCACCATGGGATACAACACACACGAACGCACCGAGCACACACACACACACACACACAGACAGACAGACAGACAGACAGACAACCTCATTAGAATGTGTGAGCAGGTTTTTAAATCAGTTGTGAGGGAGATTTTCTAGTGGACTATGAGATAAAACTGAGTTAATCACGAACATATAGTTAGAATTCTCTGTTGCTTGGCAAGAACTTAATTGGGTCATTTCACTGTGTGTGTGTGTGTGTGTGAAGTGGGAATCTGACCTAGGGTCGAATTGCTCGCTCTTACTTAAATCCATGGCTGTCCTACCTTATCAGAGACTGAAACCAGACTGTGGCCTAATGCATCTCTCCTCAAACAAAGGTTCTGAGAGCGGAGCCAAAGTTGAACAGCGTTTAGACTAGTCATGAGTAATTACAGCATGGTGGGAGGGGAAGAGGAGTAGGTTTGGGTGTGTTTGAAAGATTAAGCGTGAACCTGTCATGTCCAACAATCAATCTTCAGGTCAAGCTCAGGAACAGAGTTTAAACTAAACATGAGATTTTTTCAAGATAAGGGATTGATTGATTGTATTATTATTGATTCTGAACTGAATAAAAGTTTAATTTAGCCACCATCATAGACAAAGGAAGTGGGCGGAGCGATAAAGAGCGGGAAACTGAAGAGGAAGGGATTTTAAGCTTGGATGTGTGTGTGAAGGAGACTATATAGAGGGTGAGAGAGACAGAGAGGAGGGCTAATCTGCAGATTAGCCTGGCTTTGTTGAAATTGTAAATAAAGACAATCTCGATTCTAAAAAAACTCTGGAAGAACTTTGATTTTTAATAAAGTATAGTGATTATTTTCAACGACATAATTGGCGACCCCGGCAGGACCTGGGGAAAAAGAGATCTTTGAGTGCTTTGCCGTCTGAGAAAGTTTGAGCGAGTCACACAGATACAGTGTCCACTGTTAAATAAAGGTAAGCGACATTCTTACTATTACATAGAACTGTGTGATTCGATCGAGCTGAATCTGAGGGTAAGGTACAGAAGGGGGTCTCTCTAGCATTAAGGACAAAATTTAGGAAAAGTACAGAGTTTTTGTTGGAATGAGAAATAAGCATGCATGCAATGTTATTGTAGATAAGTGTAAATAAGTTTAAGCAGGCTAGCAGAGATGCAGGCTAGTAGAAGAAGCAGGCTAGCATACATGTAGGCTAATAGGAAGTAGGTTTGCTCATCCAGAGTAGGTGACGCATCATCCTGTAGTGGGGAGATGCACTAATTAGACAGCTAATCGGGTAAAAAAGTAGGTCATCCTGAGTAGATGACACCATAAATTGGAAGTCGCGCCGGTCATCTCAGGTAGGTGGACGGTTGTGAACAGCCACCAGGGCTTCAAAGTATAGAGAAATAATTAGAGAGAGTAGGTCTGCTCATCTCGTATGGGTGAATGTTTTGCTTGAGCGGCTGTGAGTCATTCAATTGTGATTAAGTTGTATGTTTAATCTGTCTCATTCAGGTTGCTCGTTTGGTCAGCTTGATCAATTAGCTTTGTTCAATCGTCTGATACATTTGTTCGTCCTGCGGGTCATTCTGTCTGATTCATTTAAGCACGAGTGGTCGCTTATCTGTGTGAGTGATCGGACAATAAAAAGAAATCCTGCTGTTATATCTAGCCTAGCTGTAGAAGAACGGACATCTGCACAGTTTCACATTGTACATCACTCTGTCGTTTAATGACATGTGCCACACATTCTGACAACCCATTCATCCGTAAAGCAGCACACTGTCGTAAACCATAACAACGTACAGTACGACGTACAGCACGTCGTACCATACATAACATTTCCTCCCCCCTTTCCAAAACCAGGGACTGGTACCATATATAAAATGACCATAGGGCAAGAACCTAGAGTGATACCTGTAAGAAATAAACATTAACCCTTAAACGGATGGACTCTCCAAACTAGCCAGTTCAGTCCATTAACCTGGAGGTTGACTAAGACACCTAACGGAGCCTAAGAATGAAAAGAGGTTAAGTAGTCCCCCAGATAAGCAGGGCGAGTTCGTGCCCGCATAGGCCTTTCTTCAACCGCCACCGCTTGTGGCTCTGGCCCTTGGGGAGCCCACAGAGGCTGGGGCTCGGGTGGTAGTGGTGGAGGAGGTCCATCCGGTGGCGTCTCTGGCCTGCATGTCTGTTTTGTGTGCCTTCGTGTTCCTTGAGGGGCAGGGACTTTTCTGAGGCGGCTGGCGTGCCAGCGTGATCCATTGCTCATCATGAATGTGGCGGGCCCCAGTTGTCGACTGACCTGCAAGGGGTCCAACCAGAATGAGGCCATTTTGTTGCACCGCTGAGGCCGTCGGGCTCGGACCCAGTCTGACACTTGGATGATCGACTTCTTCACCCTGTGTGCCTTGTCAAAACGCTGTTTCATTGCTCTTTGGTGTCTGGTCACTGCCTGCTGTTCTTGGGTGCGCCAAGTCGCCGGTTCTGCCACTCTCTGTGTTCTGAGTCTGTCCAGTGGCAGTTCCATCTCACGACCTAGCATGAGGGATGCCGGGGAGACCTGTGTTGTTGTGTGTTTGCTTGCTCTGTAGTGCATTAGCGTTTGATTCAAAGCAGTTTGGAACGTGCACCCCTGGACCAGGTGCGCTCTGATGCCGTTCTTCAGCGTTTGGTTGAAGCGTTCCACCCCTCCGTTAGCTTGTGGGTTGTAGTAGGCCGTGCAGATGTGTTTGATTCCCTTGTTGCTGAGATATGAGGAGAACTCGGCAGAGGTTAGCTGGGGCCCATTGTCCATGGTAAGGGTGAGGGGTAGGCCCCACCTTGTGAACAGGCTGTCTAGGATGTCCACGATGGCCTGTGCTGTGACAGTTCCGACAGGAACCACTTCTGGCCACTTAGAGTGGAGGTCATACACCACCACCAGGAAGCGCTGATGGTGAGGGACTGCGTGTCCATGGATCTCGCCACAGATGTCCAGTTGGATGTGCTCCCAGGGGTGGGACGACCATGCGAGAGGCTGCAGGGGGGGGTGGGGCGGACTGTCCTGTTTTCCCACTGAGGAGGCATGCAGCACAATCCCTGACCAGGGCTTCAATGTCGTGGTCGATGCCTGGCCACCACACAAGGTCTCGACATCGCTGTTTGACCTTCACTATGCCCAAGTGACCCTTGTGCGCCATGGATAGAACATGCGCACGCAGGCCACTCGGGACCACAGTGCAAAACCCTCGAGAGACACAGACTTCTTCCCAGCAAGAAAGTTCGTGCTTCACCCTGGCGAAAGTCGCCAGCTCTTCCGGCACATGTGCTGGCCATCCAGTGCGTATGTAGGTGCGCAGGGTAGACAGTGTGGGATCCTGTTCCGATGCTTGCTTCAGCTCCTCCAGTGAGACGACTGACTGAAGAGGAGCGTAGAGCATTTGTACAAGCTCTGTTTCGTTGTCGTCTGGCAAGACGGTCGGAGTAGGAGCGTCAAAGGAGCGTGAGAGGAGGTCTGCCACCACGTTATCCCTCCCCGGAGTGAACTTCAGCTGATAGTCATACTGTCTGTGGCGGTCGGCCCATCTGTGCAGCCGAAGTGGCTTGTGGCCAGTTCCTGATGCTGACAGTAGCGTTGTGAGGGACTGGTGGTCGGTTCGGAGTGTGAACAGACGGCCATATAGGTAGAGGTGCCACCTTTCACACGCCCAGACACAGGCCAGTGCTTCTCGTTCACCCACAGAGTACCGTTGTTCTGTGGGGTTCAGGGCCCTTGAGGCGAAGGCGACGGGCCTCTCAATGCCATTCTGCAGCTGTGAGAGGACAGCTCCTAGTGCTCCAGCTGAGGCGTCACATGTGACAATGGTGTGGCAGACGGGGTCAAAGTGAGCCAAGACTGGGGCTGTGGTGAGCTGGCTCTTCAGTGAGCGGACCGCGTCTGAGCAGGCCGCCGTCCAGGCCCATGGCTCATCCTTCTTGAGGAGCTGGCGAAGGGGCGCTGTGGTCTGCGAGTAGTGGGGCAGAAACCGGAGGTAGTAAGCTGTCATGCCCAAGAATGAGGCCACCTGAGAGGCTGAGGTCGGTTCCGGGATCCGGTGGACGGCTTCAATGTTCGACATGAGTGGGGCAATGCCTTTGGCCGACAGGCGGAAGCCCACAAACTCGACGGCTGGAGCTGCAAAGGTGCACTTTCCACCGTTAAGGGTCAGGTTGTTCCGCAGTAGAGCACTGAATACTCTGTGGAGTCGATAATCATGGATGTGGAGGTCAGGGCCGTGGACCACGATGTCATCCAGATAGACCGCCACCCCAGGTATTCCAGCGAGGATGGTGCTCATCACCTTCTGGAAGCAGCTGGGGGCGGAGCTAAGTCCAAAAGGCATGTGTGTATATCTGAACACGCAAGCATGTGTGACAAAGGCCGTGAGGTCTCTGCTAGCTGCATGGAGGGGTACCTGAAGATAACCCTGACGAAGGTCAAGCTTCGTGAAGATCGTGGAGCCATGGAATTGTGCGGTCAGCTCCTCAGCTGTAGGCAAGGGGTACTTATCCGGGACAACGGCCTTGTTCACAGCATGGAGATCCACACAGGTCCGGATTCCACCTGACTTTTTGGTTGCAATGACCAAGTTTGAAATCCAGGGGGCAGCGTTAGGTTTACTGGCTCAATGATGCCTGCATCCAGCTGTGACTGGAGATCTTTTGTGACGTCATCACGCAGTGCAAAGGGAATGCGCCGCAGGGGCTGCATGACTGGGGTCACTTCCAGATTCACTAGGGGCCTGTGAGTAAAGGCTGTGAGGCAGCCCAGTCCATCAAACAGAGTCGGCCAGTTCTGTTGCCATGTGCAGGTAACCTGGTAGATAGCTGACCCACTGTCATCTCTCAGTGTGAATCCCAAGCCTGTGAAGAGGTCGAGGCCCAGGAGGTTGGCACCCCGCTTTGCAACATGAAATGTGAATGATGGCAGATGTTTGGTGCCGTAGTGTACTGGGACCTGGAGGGTGCCTACAATGTCTATATTGGATCTACCGTACCCACACAGGGCAGTGGAGGGCTGTTGGAGTGGTAGGTGACTGAAAAACTTGTAGTAAGTGGCAAGGTTGAGCAACGACACCGCAGCGCCAGTATCCAGCAGCAAAGGCAAACCCACCTCACCCAGCTGCACAGTGCATGTCCTGAATGACACATGGTTGGTGGAGACGGTTCGGATTTCCGTGTGTTCATGTTGAGAGTGAGAGAACGACACACTTTCGCAAAGTTATTGTATTTTGAACAGTTCTTGCATATTTTCCCACGGGCTGGGCAGTTTGAAGCCCTTGAATTGTGAGAGCTAGCCCCACAGTTGCCACAGCTACTTCTGTTTGTTTGTCTGTGTGCCTGCTGCACGGGCATGCCGGTGTCTGTGTCCATGCAGCTATCGACGTGGGAGGGCGTGCGCAGCGCGTGATCGTTGTAGTGCGCCTGCTCGGGCTGAAGCTGCTGTGTGAGAATGGCTGGGGGCCGAGTGTATGCTGCAGAGCTGTCTGTTAGCATAGAAGAGCATTCCAACGCCGCTTCAACCTGGAGTGCTATTTTAATAGCTCCATCTAGTTGTAAATTATCCGATTCCAAAAGCAGTTTCTCCCTTGTCTTTTCACATAACGTCCCCTCTATCAACTGATCCCTGATGATCTCGTCCTGAAGTGTCCCGTAGTTACAAGAGCTAGCCAAATCCCTCAGATTAGCCACGTAGCTTTGAATGGACTCACCCGGCCGTTGGTGTCTCTTCCGTAGCCGGTAGCGTCGGAGGAGCACTCGCTCTTTCCCGGCGAAGTGGTTCCGTAGGAGGCTGACTGCAGCAGTGAATGTAGGAGCCGATCCAAGCGCTCTGAAAATCCTCTGTCCCTCTGTACCAAGGCAGTGACGGAGCAGTGCTGTCCTCCGCTTGTCGGAGATTGTAGAAAAGTCCATAGCTTCGAGATAAGTGTTAAAACTTTCAAGCCAGTTATTCCACGGGACTGGAGGTTCGCCAGGCACGGCGAGGAATGGTGGTAAACTGAATTCAGCCATCTTCGTCGCCAATGTTATATCTAGCCTAGCTGTAGAAGAACGGACATCTGCACAGTTTCACATTGTACATCACTCTGTCGTTTAATGACATGTGCCACACATTCTGACAACCCATTCATCCGTAAAGCAGCACACTGTCGTAAACCATAACAACGTACAGTACGACATACAGCACGTCGTACCATACATAACACCTGCAAATAATAGCCTTTTCTTTATGGAGAAAGTGTAAGGAAAGGGAGTATATTTTAGGTCGTTTGAAGCTTCTAAGGCTGGTGGAGAAAGGACAAGCCCAATCTTGCATTAGGAAGAGGATAATTAATAGTATGTGGATATTAATTTACTAACGGAGTCTTTATCAGGAGGGGTATGAGAAATCTTGTTGGAGGAACAGGTCACGTGTACGGGGGTGATCATATGACGTCAACATATTGTATTTCGGTCAAGCTTTTAGGGGTTCATTATATTTGGGAAAGTTTGAAGTAATGTAGGATTATGGTAACATTGACCATAGTGAAATGTCAAATGTTGATAGGGTTAACATTGGGCACTATTATAGAAGAAAATATTCCTGTAGGTTGTACGAATATTGATTGTGTGTTGGGAAATAGCGTTGTGTGAATGTGATATGAGAGTCGTGTGGATATGGGAATTAGTTAATCTGAAGTTTGGAGAATAAGCTGTTGATATAATGATATCTTGGGTTTGTACAACACTACCTGTCATAGAGTAGTGTGAGATCAGTGAATAAGTGACCAGTTTATAAGATTCTGGGAGGATTTTAGGACTGAGGGGCAGGGTCTAGGTAGTAAAGTTGATGTTCCGCTGGGACTAGATTAGGGTAAACTAACTTGTGGCAACAAAGAATCATTAGAAATACGAATGGTTTGGTGGGAATGTTATGTGTGGGTAATTGATTGGATAAAAGTGGAATAATATATAAGTGCTGGCTTGCGCGCCCAAACACGTAGACGTACGTGGGGGGGGGGGGGGGGGGGGGGGGGGGGGGGGGGGGGACAGTACATAGATCATTTGATAGTTATTATAATGCTTAATCTTATTTCTATCTATCATTTCGGAGCAGAGGTGATATAGTAAAGGAATTTTAGTATATTAGGGGGAAAAAAACATAATCCATTTGATTAAATTCATTAGATCTGTTTCCAAATCAATTAATGTAGATTTGACTCGTTGACTGCTAAGTCATTCCCTTTGAACTTGTAAGATCTGTGTCCTGTAAAACTATTTTCTGATAAGTGTGGTATGTGCCAGATACTAAAACTACAGACCATTATAATTGGAATAAAGGAGGATTTACTTGTCATTTCAATAAAGCATAGATTCTGCATTACTGACTAAAATCTAGATTTTCTGATTATAGTTCAACTATGGTTATGGGTTGTGTAGATTGATAAAACAGTCAGTGTTGATTTTGTGGTGTAAGACTGGGATTTAGTAGTTTGAGGGGTTCGAATTGAACGACTCACTTATTCAACAGGAATAGTGGGGGGAGAAAGATAGGTATTTTTTGTTTTGCCAAATTAGTTGATAGTTTAAAAACTACTGAGAATAGAGTTGTAATTTGGAATATTGAATTGAATATGGATATGAATTGAATGTATGCTTGTCAACTATAGCAAGTATTTGTTTTATTAATTAGAGCCTAATCAGAAAGGACAGTTACATAAATTGGATAGCGGACTGGCAATTGCGATAGAGCTGTGGCAATGATTTGAATTGATAACAAAGGAAAGTGATTTAATAGGGAAGTTAGAATTGCAACTGTGAATTGTTTGGGTAGACTGAAAGGAAAGTAATGTCTTTTAGTAATATGAATGCAAATATACTATTAGTTATGGGTGGTTTGTGAATAGACTTTACTAATGCCATGTTCTGGTTCGCGGGTAAAAGAGAGAGAGTCCAGCGAGTACGAATCAAGCTGTAAGAGACATTTGAAGCAGAAATCTGAATAGTTGAATGGAAAACATTTATTTGACAAATTCTAATTGTTATTAATTTATTATATAGTTTGCGTAACACCAGTGACGTATGCAAATAGATAATGAATTCTAAAACGCTAATTTTTTTTTTTGTTACGTGGACCAGTGGATTGCAAGTAGCTTTAACTATTATGCTGATGGGATAGCACCAATTTATTGTTGGTTCTAGATTTGTTAAACAACAAATGTATATTTTAACTAAAGTAATCCAATAAACTACAATTATAACATTATCAGGAAAAGGCACAAGCTAATGGGAAACAGCTATTACCTATGTCGTTGATTCAGTAATAGGACCAGGATGATAGTAATAATAGATATCTAGGTAGGATAATTTAGGATAGGGACTAGCTGTCTAGATATAGTCAAGTAAAAGAGAAAGACAAAGACAGATGAGTTAGGGAATAAATGCCAAGACGAAGATTAGAACGAGAATCAGCCGCATTTATGTATAGGATAAGTGGAGATAGAATAGTGGATTACACAGTGACGGGAAACATAAAAATAATAACGTATGATATAGATATACTGAAAGACAGGAAAAGAAGGTATAGGAAGTTAGATACGAAAAACCTAGATTAAAGAAAATAGAAACGTGAATATGATTAGGGGTGAATAGGGGGTGGTCTAGCGACCTAGAACGAATAGACTACTGGGAAAATACCTAGGGATAGGAAAGTGAGGAGACTATTTTATAGGTTTGGGATGAGATAAGGGAACAAAGGAAAATGAGAGTATAATACGAAAGCACAGGGGAGCGAGTGTCTTATCTTAATGGGAGATGAGACAAGGGAATGTAGAGATAGAAGGAGAAAAAGGGAAGCAACAGGTTTCCACACCAAAAAGAGGAGAAAACTCACATTTAGATATAGACTGTTATGGAGGGCTGAGGGGTAGGTTAACGGAACTGGAAAATGATGGGATAGATGAACAAGAGTATGATGGGAAAAAAGGTGTGGAGATTACAAGTGATGAGGAAGGTGAAGAACTTAGACAGTATGCTGACTCTGATCAAGAACAGCGTGAGACAGAGGGACGACTATCAGAGCAAGGAGCCACGGGAGGCGAAACTATAGTAACAGAATTAGGTAAGGCACTATACGCTCATCTGGAAAAACAACATTTAAGAAACAGAAGGACAATAAGAAAGCCAGAAAAATATGGAGCTCAATATCCCATTTTGGTAAAAGGGACACAGGTTCACTATGTGCCCTGGGGAACGCAAGACCTGGAAGGTCTGGTGACTAGACTGCCTAACCTGCACGAAGGAGCAGGAAAATGGATTGGAACATTTGAAGAACAAACGATGGGGAAGCTACTGGCGGTGGGAGACTTGAAGGCATTGCTGGTCAGGGTGGTGGGAGTGGCCAAAATGGAGAGCTTGTTGCAGGCGGATGGCCTCATACCGGCGGTGCGGAGAACGATACTGGATGGAGTGGTCTTTGACAATTATAGGCCAGGACTATGGCACATTCTGAGAATAGAGTATCCAGCCAAAATAGACCCTAAAGCACTGAGAGGGGAGCCATTGGGGGATAAAGAAAACCCGGCAGGTTACCTGGAGGACCAGCTCAAGAGGTGGCGACAAGAAACAGAAAGAGATCCAGAGGGGGATCCACTGATGACAACACTGTTCAGGACATCATTGATGGAAGCAATGCCAACGCCTGTCAGAAACAGACTAGAAGATGTGGTGGGCCTAACGTCAAACAGCAGACATACCAAAATGGTGGACCAAGAAGCCCGCTGGGTGTATGCTGGGGGCGTCAGCAATCAGGACATCTAAGAAGGAATTGTCCTACCAACCCATGGTTGCCTAAGCAACCACAGCAGGGTAATTGGCAAAGAAATGACAGCTCAGATGCATGGCGGCAGTCTCAGACACAGGCTCCACAGCGCCCAGTGAACCCGTGGGGAGGACCAAATCATGGATACTAGGGATGCCCAGGGAATCCTAAAGGGGAGGGTCAGCTAGTGGCAGTAACTATGCAGGCTGATGAAGAACCTATGCTGCAGGTTCAGGTGAATAATAGAGGCACACCAATGATGATAGATACTGGAGCAACTTACTCATGGGTAAATCCAAATTATGCCTCTCACCTCCTCCCCATGTCAGGCAAATATGCACACAGTAGAATTTTCATGACAAACGCAGTTAATACATATGACAGTTCCAGTAAAATAAGAAGCAGGAAAAAGCTACATGTATACCTATATTAGTATCAGAACAAACTCCAGTTAATCTATTAGGAAGAGATGCACTGTGTAGAATGGGGGTCCAAATTAAATGCACATCAGAGGGACTAATAATAGTTCAGGAAGGGGTATGTCCACAGAAGATGATGGACCAGACCATCATCACATTAGTAAACTGGTTTGGTAGAAGAGGGGCCACAGGGCATGTGGGAAGGTGCAACCAACGAGGCAAGAGATAGCATATTTGGGGATTTGAGTTTTCGAAGTCACGAAGCGTGATCGAGTGGGAGCAGTGCGACTAGGGAAAAGCCTAGGGGTTTAAATCTCATGAGACTTTATTTCGTTTTATGTGCACTGGATTGTGGAATTCTCCAGGGAAGGGAGCAGTCACGAGTGATGTTCTTGAGGGTTTTCTGAGTGGGGGTATCAGGAGATGTGGCAATAGAGAGTGAGAATTTCAAATTTAAATTGTTTGGACTGGTTAAGAGGTATCAAAATGGAAACTAACTAAATGTGTACTTTTTCTTCCAGGAAAAAGGGGGGAGTGATTTTCTCTTTTCTTTGCAATATTTTCAGAGACTATAAATAAGGCCTGGCCATTTTTGTTTGTTGTTTTACTATATGGTTTTCAACTAACCACAAACAACCCACTAAGTATTAGCTGTACAGGATTTTGATTTTTTTGATTTTAGGGTTCTTTTCACGGGATAGAAGTGAGATATCTTAAAGGGGCAAACACATGTAATTTGAGGTTTTATGTACTGAGTGAGTTTTAAGTAAATACAATTATTTTGAAAAGAGCTGTACTAAGGACATACAGTACACTTGGGTACAACAATTATTAAATGTTTTTACTGTTGTTAATGATTAGTCTACTATAGAATGAAATACTTATTTGAACGTTTTGAATGACCTCTTGCCTTTGTCCTGACTTTCTAGAGTGATTTGATCACCCACACTGGAAAACTGAATGACATAGGATGATGAGTTTAAGGTAATTTATACCGAGTTAAGGGTCATTTATAATACTGATAATTATGAAGAAGTTTATAATTTGGCAATAATCCTATATATCATTCCAAACAGGACAAGGATGAAGTGAGAGAGTTAGTCCTGAATGAGGGATATTCCTTGAATAATCTTATGAGGATACAATTAAGTTAAGATATTATCAAAGGTTGTCATTTTAAATTCATTTATTATTTTGGTTCAAGAGACAATATTGTTGTTGTTTTGTTTTTTGAACACATGAATCACGATGTGAGGCATGTGTCCAAAGGGGGAAAGTATTGGTTACATGGGTTTTAATGTTTTTTTGGTAAATATACAAGTTGTATTAAGTATATGAGCAGTAGTAATAATGTGTTATGGGTGTAGAGGAGGCCTGTCTATGAAACGAGTGGACTGCAACAAGCTGCAAGAGGTGCGCTTCATAATCTCAAGGCTTCTCCTGACTGATGAGAGGACATAAGTAGAATACTGTGTCTCACCTAACTTAACAATGTTCTTAAGACTTTCTTCCCATGGGTGAAGGTAACTCTGCCCAACTGAGCAGGAGAATCTGAGCATTTTCTGCGCCCTGGAGACTATGTGACGGTAAAAGACTACAGAAGAAAGAGCTGGAAAGACCCTATGTGGAGGGGCCCGTACCAGGTGTTGTTGGCTACCTCAATGATGGTAAAAGTGGCAGAGACAGATACTTAGATCCATGTTTCCCACTATAGGAGTATTCCAACCTCAGGAGAGGAAGACGGCCCCACCATTGGGTAGCATTGTTTTCTGTTGTGTCTGTCTGTGTTTGTGTGTCTTTGCAGCAGTAACTCCGAGCTTCCCTATAGGTAGGCTGGTAGAAGGAAACTATTCGCAGACCGATGTCAATGGATTGAGAGAGACTCTGGCTGATCTGGAGACCCTAGTGACGGAAGAAGGTTAACAGCTAAAGTGACCATACATCGTCATCCAGGTTACACCAATGGCTGTACGGATAGAGGGGAGCGCGACCTGGTATCATCTAAACCATTGTACCATGAGGGAACCGATGACTTAGAGATGAGGGAGCTAAGGATGCTGGAGCTGGTGAGAATCAGGAGATGGGGGAGGATGGCAAATACTGATGAGCTACGTGTTCTTGCTGACTCCCTCGGCGGAGGGGCAGACCTTCGAGACCTTTGAGACCTTCGAGACTTTTGAGACCTTCTAGATCTTCAAGATATTTCAGACATCCAAGACGCACCAAATATACCCATCATTGATTTCTCTGTCCTTGACTAGTCCCCCTAAGAATAAGGGGACTTGCATACTGACCATAGTAAAGAGCAAAAGAACAGGACATAGAAGAGAAACAGACAGGATTAAAATGTATATTCCTGCACAAGCAGCAACCATAACTAGAATACAGGAAGGGATCGCTATTAAAATACAAGGGTTAAATGGTTATTGGTGTGGGAGGAACCAGCACAAGGATTATGGGGGAATCACATGGGGTAACTGTGACCTTAAGATAATAAAAGAAAAAGACAGATGGATCATAGACATAAGGATAACAGCCCAAGACTTAGATAAACAATTCGATACTTATAAGTGTTACATTTCCAGGGGGCAGGGTTGTTGAAGTAGTTATTCCTTGGGAAAGTGCACTAAACCCTGTACATGTTAGAGCCATACCAAATGCAGAAGAAAGGGAATGGAAGGAGCCGTTAAACAATGACTAGTATAGATGAGTACAATATATTACATACAAATTAAATAAAGAAAATAGTCTAATATGCACCACATCTCCATTAAAATAATTAACAGTAGTTCCAAATCCCCACAGTTACCAGGACTGTGCTATGATTCAACCACAACTTCTGTAATCTAAGGAATTCAGAAAGACCATATTGCCCAGCAGAATGTTTGTCATATTTAGGAAATCCTAAATATAAACAATGTTATAATCAACCAGGATGAGGAGAGAAGGGTAAGCAATTAGATGTTAGAATAGGAACAAGGAAAAGGAAAGCGCCAGAGTAATAACAAATAGACTATGAGCAAATATAGGAGTGTTACAATAAAACAATTGGGTTATATAAATAAATTGGTCATTTAGCAGACGCTCTTATCCAGAGCGACTTACAGGAGCAATTAGGGTTAAGTGCCTTGCTCAAGGGCACATCGACAGGTTTTTCACCTAGTCGGCTCGGGGATTAGAACCAGCGACCTTTCGGTTACTGGCACAACGCTCTTAACCACTAAGCTACCTGCCGCCCCACAGTAACCTCGAGAAAGGACAGATCATAACAGTTTAGTTGAGTTCATTTCCAATCCAAAACATCCCTATAAGCATTGACTATATGACAAATTATTATGTTTCACCACTCATTCTTAATACCAATTATAGAATTTGGAAGAATTCAAGGGAGAATGTGAAACTATGTGACATTTATACAGATAGCCTTTGGAATGCAGGGACCCCTCAAAGAAAAATCTATCAGGCAGCAGGATCAAGTATTAGAAATTGGTATTAAGAATGAGTGGTGAAACATAATAATTTGTCATATAGTCAATGCTTATAGGGATGTTTTGGATTGGAAATGAACTCAACTAAACTGTTATGATCTGTCCTTTCTCGAGGTTACTACGGATGGTATCTTGAAGCATAGCAGAGATAATTCGGTCCAGAACGGTGTGAACCTCAATAAATACAAAAAACCCTCTACCCGGCTGAAGAGGAACAACAAAGGCGTTGAAGACGTTCCTGTCCAGCACCACCTCAACCAGGAGACCTGAATCAGAACCAGCATCCAATCAAAGCAATCAACTGCCCTTTCTCTTATACCTTTTCTCTCAAGAATGTGACAGGAGTCCATTTGGAGTGGGCAGGAAGAGAGATCTATTCAAATACAACATTTCTCATAGTTTGGGTATACTGGTAGGCAAAGCGGACAAAACCGTATGGAGGTAGAGGTGGGGTGGCTCAGGTGTGACATTGGAATTGGGACATTGTCATGGGCAATCCAAGTTGAACTATGAAGCTATCTGAAGAACATAATGAAGACACGCCAGAAGATTGAGTGCCGGGAGAGGAAGGGATTATTATTTGAGGTAGTAGGTTGATTAAGGAGGTATTATACACTGCTAAATGTATAGTAATTTAGACTAAGAATTCATTGAGATACTGATCTGTTGTTATTCTCTTTATGAGGAAGCCAATGCTAGAATTATAGATAATTATAATGTATGTTAATATAAATATACATTCTGCCAGTGTCAATATGTGCCAAGGTGAGAGTTTTAACTTTGAATGATGGAACCAAGGTGACTAACTAATAATTGTCATTCTAAATTTGTTTTGATTATGATTATTAATTGTAAGCTGACTGATTGATCTGAATTAAGTTATGTGATTTAAAGATGTTGACACTATTCTCAACATGTCCTAGATATTATGGTTAAAACAAAGTTGCATTTATTTTAGGTATGATGTGTTAGGATACTAACACATATATTTGGAATTGTTTTGAGTAGACATATTGATATTGTTCATTGTGAGTATAACCTTGAATTCAAAGATTGTGATTGATAGCATAAACATAATATACTTTTGTAAGGTTATGGAACTAGTAGTCCCATATGGGGGGATATGAGGGAGATTTTTTAGTGGACTATGGGATAAAACTGAGTTAATCACGAACATATAGTTAGAATTCTCTGTTGCTAGGCAATAACTTAATTGGGTCATTTCACTGTGTGTGTGTGTGTGAAGTGGGAATCTGACATGGGGTCGAATTGCTCGCTCTTACTAAAATCCATGGCTGTCCTACCTTATCAGAGACTGAAACCAGACTGTGGTCTAATGCATCTCTCCTCAAACAAAGGTTCTGAGAGCGGAGACAAAGTTGAACAGCGTTTAGACTAGTCATGAGTAATTACAGCATGGTGGGAGGGGAAGAGGAGTAGGTTTGGGTGTGTTTGAAAGATTAAGTGTGAACCTGTCATGTCCAACAATCAATCATCAGGTAAACATGAGTGTTTTTGCAAGATAAGGGATTGATTGATTGTATTACTATTGTTTCTGAACTGAATAAAAGTTGAATTTAGCCGCCATCACAGACATAGGAAGTGGGCGGAGCGATAAAGAGCGGGAAACTGAAGAGGGAGGGATTTTAAGATAGAATGTGTGTGTGAAGGAGACAATATAGAGGGAGAGCCTGGCTTTGTTGAAATTGTAAATAAAGTCAATCTCGATTCTAAAAAAAACTCTGGAAGAACTTTTTAAAAGATTTTTAATAAAGTATAGTGATTATTTTCCCTGCTGTTAGAGACAGAAAAGAGGGGGAGGAAGAGAGAGAGACAGAGGGAGAGAGACATTAGAGTTGGTTTGCAGTACCTTTTTAGGGAAGTAGTACCTATTCAGTATGTTAATTGGGACAGAAGAGCCCATACACTAAAGAGTCTAAGAAGAAGACATAAGACTTAAAAGAGCTAGTGTAGCCTGAACCTTTAAACTCACCTTCTTCAAAGAAAGAAGAAGACACGTTAGAGCCAACAAACAGAGCAACAAGGGACACAACCCAAAGGAGCAGCCCAAGGAACCACCCAACTCAGAGGAGAGGAAAAGAGCAACAAGAAAGGACACACAGCCATCAGCAGGCAACCAGATCAAGGAATCCACTCAGGACCAGAGAACACAAGGCCATCACTTCTTCTTCGTTCTCCTCCATGAGGCCAAGGATCAAAGACTTTGCCCCCAAACTGAGTATAACACTCCTAATATTCACATATATCGAGGTCTCTCTTCTTGTCTTTCATTCTATTTCCTACATTTCATGGTCCCTCTCATTATGTTTGTAAATATTTTGATTAGCGTTATTAAGTGTTGATTGTAATAAATAATTATTATCTTCGTATTAATAAATGCATTACTATTATTCTAATTGTAGCCTTATAGAGTTATGACTAAAATAATGAATTCTTCTTAGAAGTCCATTTCGTCCAATAACTGGCCTGGGGCCCCATTAATAATTTCATAGTAATAAGTATACACACTACCTTACATGGGCTTATACTGTATTTACTGTAGGCCCCTCTTCCTGGCCACACAACTTGACCAGGAAAAACACAGGACCCAAGTTAGAGCCTGTAGAATAGGACCAGGAGGTTTTTTGATCAGCCAGGGAAAACTCAGGGCCCTAATGATGAGATTATAATAACACACAAACTCCCTTCACCCTTTTCTACTATCTTTCTCCACCTCTCTACTTCTTCCACCTTCTCTTTCTCTCTCCCATCTCCGTCTCTCTACTTGTTCATCTTTAATCCTCCCCTTCTCTTCCTTGCTTTACATGTCTATTATTTTGTTGCTGTGTGTATTTGCCGGTAGAGACCTTTGAGTGTTATGAAAAGCATTAAACAGATCAAATGTATTGTTGTTACTTTCTCTCCTGTCTCTCCCATCTCCTGTCTCTCTCTCGCTCTCTCTCTCCCTCTGTTGTTCCACTCCTCCTCCTCAGGCTTCAAAGAAAGGAGGAGGTTCAAACGCAACGTTAACACAGAGGAGGGGAAAATGCAGCAGAAAAACCGCAGACCGCAGACAAACAACCTCAAACACACAGAATATTGAATAATAATAAAGATGTGACTTTTATCAGCCGGGAATATATGTGTGTGTGTGTGTGTGTGTGTGCGCGTAACTGGATCTCCTACAGACACAATATACTAGATTTCTCTCTGCGGCGATCATGTTTGACAGATTCAGGCTAGGTATCAGAGTGTGTTGTGTGTGTTTAGTGTGTGTGTGTAACTGGACCTCCTACAGACACAAGACATACAGATTCAGGCTAGGTATCAGAGTGTGTGTGTGTGTTCAGATCTAAGGCACTGTCCAGAGCTGACAGATTAATGAGCCTTTGGTCATCCGTTCCAATCCCACAATGCAGTGCATGGGTGGAGAAACGCTTTGATATCAGGACACTGCTGATAGCCCTATCAAAGGAGCCACACACACACACACACACACACACACCTTGTTTCGGAGATAACCTACTGCTTGAGAGGAAGCTTATGGAGATACTAGCTGTCCAGAGTCCAGAGAGTGTGTATGTGTGTGTGTGTTTTCACTTGCCTGTGTTGCCTTTGTTGCTTCACTGCCTCAGAATAAGCACTGTGCGTGCACTGATAATATTCTCATGAATATACAATGTGAGTATGATTCCCCTCTATTCATGATCTCTTTGTATTACTAAACATGTGTTCTCTCTCTCTCTCTCTCTCTCGCTCTCTCAGCAATATTACTGAACATATGCACATCTCTCAGAGAGTGGACTTGAATACTAATAAGATACTGATATAACACTTAAAGGCTCAGGCTGGTCCACTAATAGGCTGGTCCCAGGTATTTAGCTCTGCCATACAGGCTTGACTTGGCATAATCAAGACAGACAGACAGGAGTTGGCTGAGGCCCTAAACGATGGAACCATGCTAATCATACTCTTACAATGTGACACAAACATGATTGTGCCTGTTCCTAACAGCCCCTCTATGCTTAGCTCTATTTGATACCATTCCACCTATTCCGCTCCAGCCATTACCACGAGCCCGTTCTCCCCAATTAAGGTGCCACCAACCTCCTGTGATACACACCAGCTGGTTGGTCCCTTTGTCTGTCTGTCACACAGGTGTCCAATGAGAGTTGATAAACAATTTAGTGGGCGGGACTATGAATACAAGAGCTGACCGGAGCTGTTATTGGGTCAGAAAAGCGGGATGATGGGGGGGAGAAGAGGGTAAGAGGGAGGGAGAGCGGGAGGGAGGGAGGGAGGGATTGGTTGAGGATGAGGAGAGGGACGGGTTGAGGGAGGAGAAAGAGGGAGAGAAGTAGGAGAGGTGGAGAGAAATGGATGTGAGTGGTTGATAGAAAGAGGGGTGAGAGAGGGAGAGGGACAGTGACAGTGACTGGTGAGAAGGGGTGATGAGAGAAGCAGTTAAATGGAGGGGCGAGGAGAGGAGAGAAAGGGTGAAAGGATCAACCAGTGTTGCCATGGCAACTAATGGAAGCTTATTGCAGAACGAGAGAGTAAAAGAAAGAGGGGGATGAGAGGGAGAGAGACTAAAAGGAGGATGGGTAATAATGAGAAACAAAATGACCTTTTCTACCCTGGAGGAGTAACACACACACACACAGCCAGTCACGCTCTCACACCATAGAGCGTGACAGACACAACACAGCGACAAAGAGAGCAGAGAGATGCTGCTAAAGCACACTAATCAGGGAGAGAGAGAGAAACAGAGAGAAAGGGGAAAAGAGAGAAGGGTAAAGAGAGGAGAGAGAGATGGATGAATGTACTGTCTCTAGGAGGTGGTAACTGCACCTGTCCTTGCAATACCCTCCTACTGCCTACCCACACACAACTTACACACACGGACACACACACACACACACACACACACACACAGACACACACAAACTACACAGATGCCACCCACATACAACACAATGCAGAAAGCCTACCTGCTAGTCTCACACATAACTTACTTATGAATACACACATCGTCACACATTGCCAGTGTTATGCATACAAAACTCCCACCACAGAGGATCCTAACCCAGCCATACACTATACCATGATGAAAATATACTGCAAACAATACCAACGAGGGAATTACAAGACTAATAAAATAAGATTCAAAAACACATTTCAATCAAACCCAATTTAAATTAAATTAATTAAATTAAATTAGAAAATGTATCTTTCTTTCACGCACGTATGTTCACACGTATGCGCACACACACACACACACACACACACACACACACACACACACACACACACACACACTTCTATTTTTCTTTTAGATGAAGGTAACATTACCTGTCAGACTAGCCTTTTAGTCAGTGTATCTTTGTAGCCATGTTTTCTTTTGTTTAGTTTTTCTCTCTCTGACCGAGATCACTGCTGCAGTCGAGTGGTTCTCCTAGCCTTGTTCCTTCAGATATACTTGTTCTCTCTCTCTCTCTGCAGTGTCTCTGTAGTGCTCTCACTGTGCAGTACAGTCCCACCCCCATTCACACACAGAGCCAAGGGAAAGCCTGGAGACTGGATTATTGTAGATATGGATCAGGAATCCATAGTGTACTAGCCATAGACAGATCCATAGTGTACTAGCCATACACAGATCCATAGTGTACTAGCCATAGACAGGTCCATAGTGTACTAGCCATAGACAGGTCCATAGTGCACTAGCCATAGACAGATCCATAGTGTACTAGCCATAGACAGATCCATAGTGTACTAGCCATACACAGATCCATAGTGTACTAGCCATACACAGATCCATAGTGTACTAGCCATAGACAGATCCATAGTGTACTAGCCATAGACAGATCCATAGTGTACTAGCCATAGACAGATCCATAGTGTACTAGCCATAGACAGATCCATAGTGTACTAGCCATACACAGATCCATAGTGTACTAGCCATAGACAGATCCATAGTGTACTAGCCATACACAGATCCATAGTGTACTAGCCATAGACAGATCCATAGTGTACTAGCCATAGACAGGTCCATAGTGCACTAGCCATAGACAGATCCATAGTGTACTAGCCATAGACAGATCCATAGTGTACTAGCCATAGACAGATCCATAGTGTACTAGCCATAGACAGATCCATAGTGTACTAGCCATACACAGATCCATAGTGTACTAGCCATAGACAGATCCATAGTGTACTAGCCATACACAGATCCATAGTGTACTAGCCATACACAGATCCATAGTGTACTAGCCATACACAGATCCATAGTGTACTAGCCATACACAGATCCATAGTATACTAGCCATAGACAGATCCATAGTGTACTAGCCATAGACAGATCCATAGTGTACTAGCCATAGACAGATCCATAGTGTACTAGCCATAGACAGATCCATAGTGTACTAGCCATAGACAGATCCATAGTGTACTAGCCATAGACAGATCCATAGTGCACTAGCCATAGACAGATCCATAGTGCACTAGCCATAGACAGATCCATAGTGTACTAGCCATAACTGAAGTGGCACCGGAGAAGATGGCTGCCATTTTACAGCCCTCTAACCAATTGTACTATTATGTGTGTTTTTTCGCGTTATTTGTAATTTATTCTGTACATAATGTTTCTGCCACCGTCTCTTATGACCAAAATATATCAGGACAGCAATTACTCACCTCGAATTGGACGAAGATTTTTTCTTCAACGAGCCGGACGCAAAGGATATCCTACAGACACCCGACAAGGCCCAAATCCCTGTCATTCGCATGAGAAAGAGACGGAGATATAGTGGACGTAGGTCGGGGTGCCTTGTAAGGATCTGACGGCGAGCGAGTAAACTGCCTCTTCCATCAATCCTATTAGCCAATGTTCAGTCATTTGAGAACAAATTGGACGACCTAAGATTACGGTTATCCTACCAACGGGACATTAAAAACTGTAATATCTTATGTTTCACAGACAACATACAGCTGACGGGATATATGCTACATTGGCAGGATAGAACGGCTGACTCCGGTAAGACAAGGGGTGGCGGTCTGTGTATATTTGTAAACAACAGTTGGTGCACAAAATCTAATACTAAGGAAGTCTCAAGGTTTTGCTCGCCTGAGGTAGAGTATCTCATGATAAGCTGTAGACCACACTATTTACCAAGATACTTTTCATCTATATTTTTCGTAGCTGTCTATCTACCACCACAAACCGATGCTGGCATTAAGATTGCACTCAATGAGCTGTATAAGGCCATAAGTAAACAGGAAAATGCTCATCCAGAGGCAGCGCTCCTAGTGGCCGGGGACTTTAATGCAGGGAAACTTAAATCCATTCTACCTAATTTCTACCAGCATGTTTAAATGTGCAACCAGAGGGAAAAAAAACTCTAGACCACCTTTACTCCACACAGAGAGACGCATACAAAGCTCTCCCTCGCCCTCCATATGGCAAATCTGACCATAACTCTATCCTCCTGATTCCTGCTTATAAGCAAAAACTAAAGCAGGAAGCACCAGTGACTCGGTTAATAAAAAAGTGGTCAGATGATGCAGATGCTAAGCTACAGGACTGTTTTGCTAGCACAGACTGGAATATGTTCCGGGATTCTTCAGATAGCATTGAGGAGTACACCACATCAGTCACTGGCTTCATCAATAAGTGCATCGATGACGTCATCCCCACAGTGACCGTACGTACATACCCCAACCAGAAGCCATGGATTACAGGCAACATCCGCACTGAGCTAAAGGGTAGAGCTGCCGCTTTCAAGGAGCGGGACCCTAACCCGGACGCTTATAAGAAATCCCACTATGCCCTCTGACGAACCATCAGACAGGCAAAGAGTCAATACCGGACTAAGATTGAATTGTACTACATTTACATTTACATTTACATTTACGTCATTTAGCAGACGCTCTTATCCAGAGCGACTTACAGTTAGTGCATACATTATTCTTTTTTATTTTCATACCCCATGGGAATCAAACCCACAACCCTGGCGTTGCAAACGCCATGCTCTACCAACTGAGCTACCTCCCTGCCGGCCATTCCCTCCCCTACCCTGGACGACGCTGGGCCAATTGTGCGCCGCCCCATTGGTCTCCCGGTTGCGGCCAGCTACAGCAGAGCCTGGATTCGAACCAGGATCTCTAGTGGCACAGCTAGCACTGCGATGCAGTGCCTTAGACCACTGCGCCACTCGGGTACTACACCGGCTCTGACACTCGTCGGATGTGGCAGGGCTTGAAAACTATTACAGACTACAAAAGGAAGCACAAGCCTACCAGATGAGCTAAATCACTTCTATGCTCGCTTCGAGGCAAGCAACACTGAAGCATGCATGAGAGCACCAGCTGTTCCGGATGACTATGTGATCACGCTCTCCGTAGCCGATGTGAGTAAGACTTTTAAGCAGGTCAACATTCACAAGGCCGCAGGGCCAGACGGATTACCAGGATGTGTACTCCGAGCATGTGCTGACCAACTGGCAAGTGTCTTCACTGACATTTTCAACATGTCCCTGACTGAGTCTGTAATACCAACATGTTTCAAGCAGACCACCATAGTCCCTGTGCCCAAGGACACTAAGATAACCTGCCTAAATGACTACCGACCCATAGCACTCATGTCTGTAGCCATGAAGTGCTTTGAATGGCTGGTCATGGCTCACATCAACACCATTATCCCAGAAACCCTAGACCCACTCCAATTTGCATACCGCCCCAACAGATCCACAGATGATGCAATCTCTTTTGCACTCCACACTGCCCTTTCCCACCTGGACAAGAGGAACACCTACGTGAGAATGCTGTTCATTGACTACAGCTCAGCGTTCAACACCATAGTGCCCTCAAAGCTCATCACTAAGCTAAGGATCCTGGGACTAAACACCTCCCTCTGCAACTGGATCCTGGACTTCCTGATGGGCCGCTCCCAGGTGGTAAGGGTAGGTAACAACACATCTGCCACGCTGATCCTCAACACGGGGGCTCCTCAGGGGTGCGTGCTCAGTCCCCTCCTGTACTCCCTGTTCACCCACCGACAACGATGAGACAGCCTATAGGGAGGAGGTCAGAGACCTGGCCGTGTGGTGCCAGGATAACAACCTCTCCCTCAACGTGATCAAAACAAAGGAGATGATTGTGGACTACAGGAAAAAAAAGAGGACTGAGCACGCCCCAATTCTCATCGACGGGGCTGTAGTGGAACAGGTTGAAAACTTCAAGTTCCTTGGTGTCCACATCACCAACGAACTATCATGGTCCAAACACACCAAGACAGTCGTGAAGAGGGCACGACAAAGCCTATTCCCCCTCAGGAGACTGAAAAGATTTGGCATGGGTCCTCAGATCCTCAAAAAAGTTATACAGCTGCACCATCGAGAGCATCCTGACTGGTTGCATAACCGCCTGGTATGGCAACTGCTCGGCCTCCGACCGCAAGGCACTACAGAGGGTAGTGCGTACGGCCCAGTACATCACTGGGGCCAAGCTTCCTGCCATCCAGGACCTCTATACCAGGCGGTGTCAGAGGAAGGCCCTCAAAATTGTCAAAGACTCCAGCCACCCTAGTCATAGACTGTTCTCTCTGCTACCGCACGGCAAGCGGTACCGGAGCACCAAGTCTAGGTCCAAAAGGCTTCTCAACAGCTTCTACCCCCAAGCCATAAGACTCCTGAACAGCTAATCATTGCTACCCGGACTATTTGCACTGCCCCCCCACCCCCCTCTTTCACGCTGCTACTCTGTCTATTGTTTATGCATAGTCACTTTAACTCTACCCACATGTACATATTACCTCAATTACCTCGACTAGCCGGTGCCCCCGCACATTGACTCTGCACCGGTACCCCCCTGTATATAACCTCCCTACTGTTCTTTTATTTTACTGCTGCTCTTTAGTTATTTGCTTTTATTTTTTTTACTTAACACTTAAAAAAATAAAAATCTTTACAAATTGCATTGTTGGTTAAGGGCTTGTAAGTAAGCATTTCACTGTAATGTCTACACCTGTTGTATTCGGCGCATTTGGCAAATAAAATTTGATTTGATTTGATTTAGACAGGTCCATAGTGTACTAGCCATAGACAGATCCATAGTGTACTAGCCATACACAGATCCATAGTGTACTAGCCATAGACAGATCCATAGTGTACTAGCCATAGACAGATCCATAGTGCACTAGCCATAGACAGATCCATAGTGTACTAGCCATAGACAGATCCATAGTGTACTAGCCATAGACAGATCCATAGTGTACTAGCCATAGACAGATCCATAGTGTACTAGCCATAGACAGATCCATAGTGTACTAGCCATATACAGATCCATAGTGTACTAGCCATAGACAGATCCACAGGAGGATATGAGACAGACAAAAAAGGCAAAAAAGCAGACCGTGACCTCATCCACACACACACACACACACACACACGCACACACGTGCACACACACACTGAGGTAGACCAGAGTGACATATAAATCAGTTTGAGGACACACAGAGATTACATAGACTACAGAACACACAGCATCAGCAGACACGCAGAGATAAACATCACCATCCATTATCAAAATAATTAACTTTAAGGAAATGGCCATTTTAAGCGCAGTCTATATATCAGAAGATAAACAACAGTATCTATTTTAAGTACAGCCAGACAGTGTGTCAGGGGTCTACCAAAAATAACCAGCCACTCTAGGAGGGAAATAGAACTTCAATATACAAATAAAAATCATCTGTGGGAGGTGCAAAACAGTGAGCACACACTTCCGTCAGTCGATTCAACTGTTGTCCTTTACAAGCTGCTTTTATCTAAATCAACTGACAGTTGATACATACAGGAATCAAACCCACAACCCGGATGAAGTTGAACACACCAAGCTCCATCTCTACATTTCCTAGTCATTACAATAGTCATTAGACAGTCATCCAGTACAGACCTGTTCCAGACAGCCAAGCCAAGCTTGCTCTGAATAATCTCATAAATAGCCTTCACCTGGATTAGGATGCAGAGAGAGAAAAACTGGTTTCTGTCTGTGTGGCCTGATGAGACTGAACATGAAGACTTGGGTTCTGGCATCTGCAGTTGTTTCTAAATATAGATAGTCCTTCTATATCTTGTGTGGTGTGCTGGCCTAATTCAGATTCGGTGTAACAGATATTCTCAAGAGCAATCGGTTTTAATAGCCTACACGGGTGAATGAGTGAGTGGATGGGCAGTTTGGAGTGTATTTAAAAGTAATTTGTCTGTTGTGTTCGAGAGAAGTAACATGCTACTGTTGCTGCTGCTTTGCTACTGTTGCTTTGCTGGGGTTGTGTGTGGGGTTCAAGGTATTGATATCCATTCCCCCCTCTTGAATGCTTAATGTTTGGAATAGTGAATTAATACAGCATTGTGTTTAGGACATGCCAGGGAACAATCCGAAACAGACAGATTCAGCCTGGGACTTTATACATCTAGTGCCTTGTAAATGTTTTATCTTGTTTATGATGACTAACACCCACATAATCTGTCTCTCTGTGGTCTAACTCCTTTCTAACATTTGCAGTTCCTCGTTCTCTCTCTATTTTAACCCCCTGTATAATCAGTTTAATTTTTTCTGCATTTCTAACTGGAAATTCTGTAATGTTAACTTGTACCATTCTGGATATGTGCCAGTTCTGAGTAGGGATGGAGGAAAAGGAGGGCGGAAAGGAGATAGTGAAGGAAAGAGGGAGTCAGTGAAGAGAGGGGCCTCCTGATGTAATTTTACTGAAGTGAAAGTAAACTAAAGCAGGGCATTGCATACCGAAACAAAGTCTGCTGCTCCTCACAAGGCTAACAACAACACAGCAGCACGGTGTCCAACATTCAACAAGAAAACAGGAAAACTCCCACACACTCAGGTGAGAGAGGTGGACAGGTTTAAACTATTTTCTACCACAATGGTTCAGTTGCGAAATACATTTATGCAGCTCATTTGCAATTTTACAAGCATATGAGAGTAAAGTTGAGGAAAAACACAAGCTGGGCAGCTCAGGGAGATTTTATTACGAGGTGCAGGTAAAGGGGAAGACAGACTGGAGTTTAGGAGTGGCCAGAGGGTCCATCATCACAAAGGAAACTAAGGTGGAGAGTCATAAGGATGGCATCTGGATTATGAGGCTGAGTAAAAGGAATGAGTATGAGGCCTGTACTGCCCCCCCTGTCCCCCTCTTCCTGACAGAGAAGCCCCGAAAGGTAGGGGTGTTTGTGGATTATGAGGAGGGTGAAGTCTCCTTCTATGATGTGGAGGCCAGGTCTCATATTTACTCTTTCACTGGCTGCATATTCACTGATAAACTCTATCCATACTTGAACCCTTGTGATAACTATGGTGGAGAAAACTCAGCCCCATTGGTTATTTCCCCTGTCAATCACACACACTGAGTTTGAGTTCTAGGTCAATGCCTAAAGGGCAGGGCTGTTTAGTGGGGTTCAGCTGTATGCTACCCTGGGGTACTATTTTTCATTAAAATAGCTGTCCAGTGGCTGATCCTGGTGATGTTTGAGGGGAGAATACTACCTGTCCCAAAGAGGCATAATATTACATCATAATGAAAATGTAAATGTCTTTTTTTATGACATGAGAGGAAAATCAATGAACAAATTGGAGGGGGGAAATTAAAACATAACTAAGATGATCTATTTATTATCTATTTGCATCCTTCATGATAATCTAATTGGTGTCACTACATTTCTTGCTTCCGTAATTCTGTTTAGATGTATTGTTATACACGTTTTTATAAAAACATTGTATTTTCCCATTCAAAATTGACACAGGGGTTCCTCAAATTACTTTTGGTTCAATAATTGTATTTTTAGAGCGAAAAATGTATATGAAGTGTACATATGCATGTTTTGCATATTTAGATGTAATGTTGAAATGTGAAAATGTACATTTGAAATGATGTAGAATTATGTCATCAAGATCAAAAGTGAGGAAAAATAAAGAGATATTTTTGGGGCTTTTTTACAGAGAAGTTTTCTCTGAAGCACTACTGAAATTGGCAAGCATAATGGCATACAAGTGAAAAGCTTAAACAAAAACATGTTTTTAGATCAGTGCAGATGAGAGATGAGCATAGAGAATGATAGAGGCCTGTAGTGGCAAAAAAACTGTATTAGCATGGGCAGCACCATTGAGGGCTTCCACCATTTTAATGTAGTCAACTGGGTGGGACATCCAACTTCATTGGCTGATCCCTTCTGGTGACCCTGTTGGAGTCATGTTCAACTGGGGCATCAGGAGAGATCAGCCAATCGTGAAGAAGAAAGGTGACTACTTCAAAATGAAGATTGCCTCAATGGTGCTGCCCATGCTGTCACAGACCCTACAATGACACAAATACAAAGATGAGTCCTCTATCTATTTCTATGGAGATGAGAGAAGGATGCCATTAAATACTATTGACATGCATCCAGATTGCACAGCAGTGCTGTCTCTTTAAGTGAAGGAAACACATGGTAGAGCATGGCAGATGCTTATTAGGTGGGCTGAAAGATGTACAACACTGCAGATTGAAATGCAATGTTTAGAACCTACACTATTTATAGTTCTGCATGCACATTTTTTTGTTCGACCAAGAATTTAGAATCTACAGTGTTCTATACAGTGCAGGAGAGAGTGAGTAAAAGATGGATGCGCAGAGGCAATGAGGGAGGGGCCTAGTGATGTCACTTTGCTGAAGCTAAAGTAAACTAGGAAGCAGGGAACTGCACACAGAAACAAACTCTCTTCTGCTCCTTACAAGGCTACCTACAACAACACAGCAGTAGAGTCCACTTCACACGAAAATTGGAAAAAGACCTGCACACTCCGGTGAGAGAGAATAAAGAGCAACAAGCTCAGTGCTCCTTGTTTTCCTCAACTGAGTTCACCTGCTCCTCCTTTGATTAAAATCCTGTTATAATCTCTTTAGACAATCATATGAAGTATCTAGATTGTTATGTATCAGCTAATATGACTTAAGTGACTACTCCAAATCTAAATACACCGTGTAACAAGGCCTTTACACAATAGTTGGACTGATCCCAAAACATCTTGCAGAAGAGGTGATACAGGTGGTAATTTGGCTACAAACTACATTGAAATCAGTGGGAATGGTAAATGTAAGAAAACACAGTAAAAAGGCAAAATCACAGATGATGCTAAATACAGAAATGTAGTTTATTTTCTGTAATTTTACAAGCATATGAGTGTAAGAGTTAGGAAAATAAATTGGGCAGGTAGCTGGCTATGTATGTAGCGTGACTGTTAACCATAAACAAGCTAGCTATCATCAGTTCACTGTGGAACTTTGTCTGTAGTGACGTTTCATGAAAGCTACATTTTAGCTTGATGCCGCATTCAAAACTGCGAACTTGGAAATGTCCGACTTCAGTGCGTTCAAGACAACTGCGAACTCTGACTGGGAAAAATATTTTAAACGGTCATCTAACTCGGAATTCCAAGTCGGAAACTCTGGCATCTTTCTAGAGCGCTCACCTGAAGATCACCGACATCATGATTTGACCTAGTTTTTTTTCTTCGAGTTCCCAGTTGTCGTGAAAGCGCCATGAGTCAACAAGGGAGAGGCTATACGGACATGCCTGGTGCCCAAAATGTATGTCGCGCAGCGAGAGTTGAGTGGAGACGAACGGATTCGGTTCAGTCAGTCAGTCGTCCAAATGATCCCTGCCCAGATATCTAGTTTATGCTTGTGGCTAGAAAACAAACTTGTCTGCCGAAGTTGAGACTTGTAAGAGTTAGGAAAATAAATTGGGCAGGTAGCTAACTCTTTCTAACATTTGCAGTTCCTCTTTCTCTCTCTATTTTAACCCCCTGTATAATCAGTTAAATTTTTTCTGCATTTCTAACTGGAAATTCTGTAATGTTAACTTGTACCATTCTGGATATGTGCCAGTTCTGAGTAGGGATGGAGGAAAGGAGGGCGGAAAGGAGATAGTGAAGGAAAGAGGGAGTCAGTGAAGAGAGGGGCCTCCTGATGTAATTTTACTGAAGTGAAAGTAAACTAAAGCAGGGCATTGCATACCGAAACAAAGTCTGCTGCTCCTCACAAGGCTAACAACAACACAGCAGCACGGTGTCCAACATTCAACAAGAAAACAGGAAAACTCCCACACACTCAGGTGAGAGAGGTGGACAGGTTTAAACTATTTTCTACCACAATGGTTCAGTTGCGAAATAAATTTATGCAGCTCATTTGCAATTTTACAAGCATATGAGAGTAAAGTTGAGGAAAAACACAAGCTGGGCAGCTAGCTGGTTATGTATGTAGCTTGTCTGTCAATCAAAAGATAGCTAGGCTATCATCAGTCACATTTTGAGTGTTTGATTAAAACTGTCAGCACCCCCATTACCTTGTGTGTGAAAGAAGGAGGTTTTCAAATGTTTTGCTGAAGTGAACTGAGGACATTTGTCTGTAGTGATGTTTCAGGAAAGTTACAGCTTAACTAACCCTTAGTCAACAAAGCCATGAATAGCCGAGTCCTTCCAAGAAGTTCATATATGGTTTCTCTATTATTGTGTTCCAGATATGGCGTCCCCTCGCAGTCTCCTGCTCAAAGAGCAGATAATGTGCTGTATCTGTCTGGATGTGTTCACTGAGCCAGTCACTACTCCATGTGGTCACAACTTCTGCAAGGCCTGTATCAGGGGATACTGGAATAGGACTGGCCTGTGTCAGTGTCCAATGTGTAAGGATATGTTTTACAGAAAACCTGAGCTCAAAATCAACACAACACTCAGAGATGTTGCAGATCATTTTAAGAGGATGAGAGACAGAGACAGAGATGAGTCCTTTGTTGAGCCAGGAGAGGTGGCCTGTGATGTCTGCACTGGGAGAAAGCACAAGGCCCTGAAGTC